ATTTTTATTCATTTATAACGGTCCTTATGTACATGCATTGACACACTGCTCTGGTAGTGACACGGTTGAACGTCGCAAAAGGAAGCCACCATCGTTTACTTTACCATCAAAGAGTTTTGCAAATGCATCCATTGAATAAGAAGTTTGTCAGCACCCCTTTGTTATATCATCAGACAAAATGAATCTTGAATATGTTCCATGTTTCTAGATGTTGAAGGAACCAGACAATGGCTGTCATCGAACATTTATCTCGCTGAATAGTGAACTGTAACATTTTAAAACGGGTATCAAATCGCCGAGCCTTTTTTCATTGTGTATACTATTTTATACTCAGTCAGCGTTTACTAAGCTGAAGAAGGAAGAGATGTAAATATAAGGAACTATCTTGTAACATATAGGAAACATACAAACTTATACAAAGAAGCAACCTACCACCTTTCACATACATTATATAGTAACGAGAAGTGACTTTGCATACAGGGAACTTATTACCTTAAATGCAGGACACATATGTCCTTACAAACAAAATGTCACCTTAAAAACAGGTCAATGACTTTTCACAGGTAAAATATGACACGCAAGTAACATTATAACTTCATTATTTAAAATCCCAAACAAATACATCTATCTTATTTTCGTGCAATTGTAGAATGTGCAATGGGCCTGATAGATCTATTTGTTTTTTAGGTAAAAGGCAGAAAATCTTGATACATGTGCCCCGTTCACATCGAAATGGCAGAATATGCCTGTACCTCATTTTGATTTAAAAGGCAGAAAAAGCATGTACCACATTTTCTGTACAATGCTAAAGTTGTTCTTTGTTATAATGACTTTTTACTGTTACAATTTTCATTCCTCTTTCCAATTGCCAGTCTACTGCTTGACCCTTGAAAACCTGTATGTTTGCAGTAAATCTTTTTCTTTCCTTTCATTTTAGTATTTGAAACAATTCTATCACAAGATCTGAAAATGCATGTCCGCAATGAATACAATAACTTTTACTGAAACCTGGCTACATCTGACTTTAGCGATACCTACTGTCACCGACACCTGACTTAATCTACATCTGACTTTAGCGATACCTACTGTCACCGACACCTGACTTTACTAACACCTTACTTTACTGACACCTGACTTAATCTACATCTGACTTTAGTGATACCTACCTTCACCGACACCTGACTTTACTAACACCTTACTTTACTGACACCTGACTTAATCTACATCTGACTTTAGCGATACCTACCTTCACCGACACCTGACTTTACTAGCACCTGACTGAAGTGATACCTGACTTCACTAACACCTGACTTCACTAACACCAGACATTACCAACACCTGACTTTACCAACACCTGACTTCACTGACACCTGACTTCACCAACACCTGACTTTACCAACACCTGACTTTACCAACACCTGACTTTTCAAACACCTGACTTAACCAACACCTGACTTCACTGACACCTGACTTTACTAACACCTTACTTTACTGACACCTGACTTTACAGACACCTGACTTAATTGACACCTTACTTTACTTATACCTGACTTTACCAACACCTGACTTTACCAACACCAGACTTTACTAGACTAACACCTGACTTTACTAAACTAACACCTGACTTTACCAACACCTGACTTCACTAACACCTGACTTTACCAACACCTGACTTTACTAACACCTTAACTAACACCTGACTTTACCAACACCTGACTTTACTAAACTAACACCTGACTTTACTAAACTTACACCTGACTTTACCAACACCTGACTTCACTAACACCTGACTTTACCAACACCTGACTTTACTAACACCTTAACTAACACCTGACTTTACCAACACCTGACTTTACTAAACTAACACCTGACTTTACTAAACTTACACCTGACTTTACCAACACCTGACTTCACTAACACCTGACTTTACCAACACCTGACTTTACTAACACCTTAACTAACACCTGACTTTACCAACACCTAACTTCAGTAACACCTGACTTTAGTAACACCTGACTTTACCAACACCTGACTTCACTAACACCTGACTTCAGTAACACCTGACTTTACCAACACCTGACTTTACTAACACCTTAACTTAAGGAGTATGTCACCAACACCTGACTTCAGTAACACCTGACTTCAGTAACACCTGACTTTACCAACACCTGACTTCACTGACACCTGACTTCACTGACAGCTGACTTTACTGACACCTGACTTTACCAATACCTGACTTTGCCAACACCTGACTTCACTGACACCTGACTTTACTGACACCTGACTTTACCAACACCTGACTTCACTGACACCTGACTTTACTAACACCTGACTTCACCAACACTTGACTTTATTGACACCTGACTTTATTAACACCTGACTTTACCAACACCTGACTTCACTAACACCTGACTTTACTGACACCTGACTTTACTAACACCTGACTTTACCAACACCTGACTTTACCAACACCTGACTTACTTTACCAACACCTGACTTTACCAACACCTGACTTCACTGACACCTGACTTCACTGACACCTGACTTTATTGACACCTGACTTTACCAACACCTGACTTTACCAACACCCTACTTCACGAACACCTGACTTTACCAATACCTGACTGCACTAACACCTGACTTCACTTACACCTGACTTTAACAATGCCTGACTTTACCAACACCTGACTTTACTAACACCTGACTTTACGAACACCTGACTTCACTAACACTTGACTTCACTAACACCTGACTTTACTTAACACCTGACTTTACTAACACCTGATTTCACTGACACCTGACTTCACTAACACCTGACTTCACTAACACCTGACTTTACCAACACCTGACTTCACTGACACCTGACTTTACCAACACCTGACTTTACCAACACCTGACTTCACCAACACCTGACTTCACTAACACCTGACTTTACCAACACCTGACTTTACCAACACTTGACTTTACCAACACCTGACTTCACTAACACCTGACTTTCTGCTTTCTTTCGTGTTTGTGCTCGCATGCAATACCAACACCAACTTGTCAGTTAATTATGTTGACATCCTATCTAAAACATGATGACATCTGATCTGGAAATCAGAAGAAACTGAATCCACAGCATGTGTGCACTTAGCAGGCAGCATTACGTGATAATTTTCCAGGAAAATGATTGGATAACTACTCGTTTTGTTTTGCATAAATAAGTGGCAAGTCGATGGCATTAACAGAATAAAAAGCAGAGTTTCTTACTTACGCGATAATTAACCTCTGCAAAATCAACTCGGAAATTGTAAAAATATGTCAACATAATTTAAACGTTACTGCGACATATTCATAAATTATGTCGACATCTTTTAAAAAATAAGTTGACAAAGGTAACCCGTAAGTCGAAAGTTGATGGCAGAAATATGCCACCATACCCTGTCCATGTTCCAATAGGGTTTGATAAAATAATAAGAAAATCTACAGGAAGTAGAAAACTTGTTCCAAATCCAGCCAATCAGACTCAAGGAAAGACGTCTATAACTGCATTGAATATACATGGATTACGACATCAATGACCATGACCTCAGTATCATTACCATACTTCCAATGACCAAGTTTGATTTGGTTAATACGTGTTTACATTCAGACAGTTAAAATATACTGAGAGTAAACCAGGTACTATATGTATAATGTATACTGTTTTTAACGGTACCTTGGAGTACCTGGTTGCTTGCAATTGACCCATTCCCAAACATGCCACATTTATCTCACATCTCACAGCTTGAGACAAAATCTCACAGATTTTCATCTATGATAAACTCTCACACTGTGGGACATGATATTACGGAAAGACCTCAAAACCTCAAGGTGAACCATTTTCCCATAGTTGTTCACTCAAAATTTAAGAGATAAATCACGATAGCTCAAGAGTAGCGGTCATGTGATGGTCATGTGATGGTCATGTGATGGTCATGTGATTGATTTGTATGCAAGAGCTTTTTGATAACTTCCAGAAAACTAAGCTGTTGTCAGTGAAATTATGAGTTTATTTTGGCGTCTTTTACAATAAATAATCTAACAGAACAATAGAAATAGATTCATTATGTTATTTAGTTTGATCCTTTTTTATTGTTGCCATTCAATTCCGTGATACTACGGAATGCCTGACATTCTTTGTCTTTAGCCACTGTGCGACAACATCAAATTTCCCATGAAGTTAATAGCTTACATTGTCAGTAGAATTAGCACAAAACATGTTTTCTGTCATGTTTGTAACGTTAGTTCATTGCTAATTTGCTAGACACTCTGATAAATACTTTGTCTGGCTAAGTGTTACTTTACAAATATAAGTTCACTGCAAAAGTTGAGAGAATGGCAGGTAAGGAGTATGTCATGAAGAAGGTGGAAAAGGCTTTGTTCTGGATGCTGAAATATTTAATTGAAAAGTTCAAATGATGCAGAACACAGTTTGCTTTTCTTTCACAGCCGATTATTTCTGTCCTCTTTTTAAATGCATGTTTCCAGATTCTATTACAATGCCCAGAAGTTCAAATGTAAATGAACAAAGACAACTGTTATCCTTACAAACTCATCAAAATCCGCTGTTCAAAGTGTAATGTCTCCTAAATTGAACATCAGTAGTACTGTGACTGCTGTGAATATTGACCTGTCCAACTATATTTCGTAATCAAAAGTAAAATCTGCTTCTTTACTATATCTCAACTAAGAGATGTTAGATGCAGGGTTAGGGTAAATTTGAAAAAATTGAATTGGTAACATTCACTTTAGGAATCTTCACATTTGTATCTGTAATAAGTATAAAGCTAGGATACAATTAAACATACTCCTGCCTTTTTTTCAATGTTCATGTCGGTATGAAGTTTAGAATGCAAGTCAATTAAATACTTATTTACCTAGTGGGAGCTTCATGGTAAATATGTAATAGACCTGTGTTCATACCGGCATGAACATTGAAAGATTGCTGTTCAATCCCTATATAAGCCAGTACTTACATGTCTGTTGCTATCACTGGTAGTGGATCTGTATCAGATGAACATGCTTTCTTGACATCCACTTCCTGAAGGTCATGAGTAGCTACATCACCGCACAAAACTTCTTTATCAGAAGTATTACTACCAGTCCCATCTGTCTGTCTGTTTTCAAATGCATCATTCTTTTTTTGATCCAAACACTCATTCTGCAATCGCCGCAATTGGTGAACTTTAGTCCTGCGAGCAACTTTTTCCAAAGCCTTTTTCAGACCGTCTCCATGGAAATATTCCAGGATTGTTTTTCGGCACCAATCGATCCTGGTCTCAGGAAGTCTTGTCCAGTGATCTTTTGCCAAATGGTGCATGGCATCTGCATATTGTCGCAAGGTGTCTGTGTCTTCGCAGTGTTCTTTCCAAATCTGTTCAAAGTCATCAGCATCTACAGGACAGAAATGAAAAATTATATTAGACCTTATAGCATAACCATGGTACAGTAGTACCACATTGCCTCATCCTTCAGGAGATATTTTAGTGTTGGGGTTTGGCTAACTCCAGAACTGTAAATCTGCAAAAGACAGGAATTTACACTGAGCTTGAGCTTTTAAATCTGCTAACAAGGGATGGGTTTACTGTATTCATCTTACAAATCGACCAGGGGGTCAACGAATAATCTCCCGACTCAATATAGCATTTTGTATCTTGCTGTTTATATGATATTTCGTATGCTTAAAAAGCTGACACCAGATACTATATAATTACCCATACAATTCAAACAGACGTTACAAAATATTAATGGTTTATAATGTTTCCCCTTGGTAGTATGACACCCTGATAAAACACTAGCTGCTTCCTGCTGGCTCGGCTGAGGAGAACTTCTCTTTAGCTCATTTGGTAGAGCGCAAGACTAGTAAACCAGAGGCCTAAAGTCTGACAGAGGCATTAAACAAAGGATGACCTCCATTAGAATGTAATGATATGTTAATGATGCTCTTCACAATTTAACATGAAAAACAAAAATGATCTTAAAACAGAGGTGATGACTATTAAAACCTTTGCATTTCTTGAACTTCTTCCTTAGATCAGCATGTAGACCTTTAATGATCCCAGCAAGTCTCAGATGCTCCTCCCGACCTTCAACAGTCGCCATTACAGTATTTTCTGAATAATAAACAAAAGAAGTGTTTAAGGGATGGAAGGAAACCATATCGGTGTTACCTCCCATGGTCAAAACAATGTCTAATGACTTTCGACACTTCATCACACTATTAAATTGTACATAGGATTACGGTCGCCTGCTAGCTTCACACTAGAGGGAATTTTCCTTGATCCCAGTGGTAAAGTGTCCGACTTAAGGAAGTCTGGGATCGCAGGTTTGATCCCCAGTGGAAGCACACGTCTCTCTTTCCTGTTACAAACGGTGTCCTGTGGCCCTCCTTTTGGTGAAGCGGACTTAAAACCTGGGTTGTGGTGTTCGAGGTCAAACACATTTAAGAAGGGGGGAGAAGTGTGTCATATTTTAATTGTAAGAAGTGTTTAGGTTGATCCCCGGGGGAAGCATACTACTCTCTTTCCTGTTACATAAGTAATGGATATAGATATAGTTTTACAAAGTGTCTAAAAGTCTGACATCTGAATCTTTTGCACACAATGATATGTGTTCCTCAATCTATCATATATTGGTAGGGATCAATCTAGGCTTTAGGGAAATCTACATTTTTTCAGATTTGGGGGAAATTAAAAAATTTCATACAACACTCTAGCGTCATGAAGGTAAAAGATAAACGTTTTGTCCGACATACATGTGTGCAGTATATTTCAATTGAAAAACAATTTTAAGCTTAAAAGTTTTGTTTTAAAATTATGTGAAGAAAATGTATATGCAGTATTATGCATTTTAACTGTTGATCTTTAAAGAAAACATATAAGGGAAATATTTTGAACAAGAACCACTATTTTCTTGTTGAAAAAGGGGAATTTTTAAGCACATAGGGGAAATTTTCAAAGAACAGGGGAATTTTCTTCTGTAGGGGAAACTACCCATAGATGGTAGATAATCAAGTCTAGATTGATCCCAGATTGGATTGTGTTGACACAATGACGTCCTATTTTTACTCTTTATGTTAAAGAGAACTACCAATTTATATTTCACTTAATATCAGTAATAAAATTGTTACTGTAAACGGTAACTGTCAACCAAGCGGTAACTATCAACCAAAATACAGAATCATTACCCATATGTGGAGTTGTGCATAATTTTTTTTTTTGTCAATTGAACTTTATCCCGGTTCAAGATCAGGGTCCGTATTCATGAAACCGTTCGCATGTATTCTGTGCTCAAACCAACTATTTTGTTACTCGCTTTGATCATGTCAAACGATCAAAATATTATTTGGCTTTAAGTCTGTTCAAAATATTTCCAAATTATTGACAAAATAAGATTTATTTGTTAAGTTATAACAAGAACAAAAAATAGGCCTGAGCACAAAATCCATGCTTGAGCATGAGAACGGTTTCATGAATACGGGCCCAGGTGTTTGAAAATAAATGGAATTATTTATATTGTTTAGTGTTCGTCTTACATCTGATATGATTCGGAGTTCAGGTTCTCCACTGAAGCACAGGGGGTCGTTACAAATGTCTTAAACACAAATGCTATGCCGATACGGGTCACATCACACATAGTGTACGTTTATGTGTGCTGTATCAGTATGCCTGTTCAGGCATTTGTCTGTAACGAACCCGAGTATCCATTTCCTACTTCAACTTCAGAAGTTAGTTATATATAACAGTAACTTTACACATCGCCTGAATCAGACCCATTGCAACTATCTTTTCTATACTAGTATTAACAAACGAATCAACTGTTTATCATTGCCTTCGTGTCTTAATGTATTTAGCACAAGGCTTTACCTGCATCACATCACCAGATGACAGAAACCACATGCGTTCTAAACAACGTAAACAGGAAACTGAATAAATATACTAAAATTAGAAACACGCCAGTGAGGAAATTACGGAATTTTGCTTACACAAATAAATGAAACATCTACCTCAAGGTTTTTTTACCAATAGCTTGCTCGCCATTCTTAAAATCTGTAAATAATACATAAATATTTATATTAAGTTCACCTAAAAATAACTCCATATACATGTAGTTGAATACCTGAGTATTATTAAGTATTACTGGGCCTGTATTCATGAAACCATCTCATGCTCAAACATGGTCCTGTGCTCAAGCCCAATTTTTTTTTTTTTTTTTTTTTTTTTTTTTTTTTTTTTTTT